ATTTTTTACGACTTGCATTGATTTCTAAATTAAGCAACAAAAATAAATAAAAGCAGAAAATTATTCGGGAACTGTCGAGTATAAATTTTTGCGCTCAGACTACAGATATTTTCCGGTGTGCTTTTACTCCTCCTAGTCTTCTACCGATTATATTAAAGTCACTTCAAAAAACTTCCTTTCAAACTACCAAGCAGTATAAAGAATTGTTGATGTTTTATTTTAATAATTTAAAAATCTTAACGACAAATCATTTTTTTTATATATATAAAAAGTTGGAGATGTGTGAATGCACAAATTTCTTAAATCCGGCGGGTTTCTTTGTCGTTATGATTTATAATTATTTTAGTCAAAGTTTCTTATTCCTGTGAGTCGGCTATAATACTCTCGTAGATCATTATTTCGCTTTTGCAAAAAATAACAACATTAAATGAGTCGATTTACAAACTTGCATAATGGGTACGTAGCTGAGATCAATTTCGGGTAAGCGGCACAGTGTTGCTTCTCTTATCAAAATATAACGTGCGTACGTGTGCATAGATGTAAATTATGCAAATGCTTATACATGTGAACCGGTAAATCGAAAAGTTTATTTATTTATAGTAAAAAAAAAACGTATTCTATACGTTAAACGTACATTCAGATAAAGGCGAGAGTGGACCAAAGCTCACTTTGTTCGCTATCTCTTTAAACCTGTATGGCAATTATGTAAATTCCTAAACCGATGTTGTTAAGCAAATGTAAAATGTGGGCTTCAAATTTCCTAATTTTTTTTTTAAGTTGTTTAGCAATGCAAAGGTTCTGAAAAAAATTCTCAATAGGGTTATTTTAAAACGTGTGTAACGGTAACGATATTTTGTGGAGAGATCAACAGAGATACACGCTTTATTGTGGTGTAAATTAATTTGAGTCTTAATGTCAGAGTGTTTATTAAAGAATTCTAAGCATTACAATATTCAAATACATATTTAAAAATATATAGTCTTCTGTTGAAAAAAACGAATTTGTGTTTATGTCTCAAGAGCGGAACACTCTGTACAGCTAAAAATAATTTTAGTATACCGTACTCAAAGAACCGTACAACTTTAGTCTGCGACATTTTGTTTTATTTTCAATAATTAATAAAATATCGAGGATGCGTGCTTATGGACGCACCCTGTATAGTGTGGAAATTACTTTTATAATAAGTTTAAGAAGTTATAAATTAATAAAAAGTTACAAGAACGCTCTTGTTATATACAGGGTGAGTCACTAAGCGCGCGTTTCTCGATATATTATTATTAATTATTAGTAGAAACAGAAAAAAAAACCAAAGAGTAAAATTGTACGGTACATTAAAAACCATAAATTAAAATTATTTTTAACTATACAGAGTGTTCTGCGGTTAATGTGTAACATACAACTTTTTTTAAGAAGCACCTATATATTTTTACAGATTTTCTCTTCCTGAGCTGTACAAACACAGTAATTTTTTAAATGTTCTTGAAATGTTTTAACAATGGAAGGGTTCAAAGAAAATAATCGCAATAGGGTTATTTTTAAAATCTATGTCGCATTTTTGAATTTTTATGTACAAAATTTTAGTAATTACAATTTTCAAATGCCGATATTTCGTTGTGTTTTTTTTTTCAAATAGAACACCTTATAATGTATTACTGCATCTTATTCTGTTTTTTTTTGTTCTCTTTTTTTTAATATTAAATTTGATAGTTACTGTGATTTTTTACTTTTTTAGGAGACATATCCACATTTTGAATGACTGAGGACAAAAAATAGACAACAACGTGTATATTAAAATCTGATTTACACAAATTTTAAAAGTAACCGTATTGCGATTTTTTTTCTGAACTCTTTCATTACCAAAACATTTCAAGAAATATAGAATAACGTGGTAACGTCGCATCGGAATGTCAGAAATAAATTGTGGTTATAAAGCCTAGGACAGGGCTAATAAGAATATGTTAAAATATATAGGGTGTTTCATTAAAAAAACTAAGTTGTGTGTTACGCTTTAAAAATGGAGTATTCTGTGTTGTTAACAATAATTTTAGACTATAGTTCTCAAAGAAACATACAACTTGACTTTTTTTTATTTCTAATAATTAATGAGACATCGAGGACAGCGCGTTTAGTGACTCATCCTGTATATACGATGTTCATTAAATAGCGCACGTTGTAGTCTAGTGAGCAAAGAAAACATAATTTCAAAAACCGTGGACCTTCAAAAAAAATTTTTTTTTTCGATATTTTACCACATTTTAAAATTCACTGTTTCGTATTGAGCAGATGAAATCTGACTTTAATAAAATTATTCAAACTAATTGTGAAAATATGTATGTCTTTTATTTTTCATTCTATAATATCACAAAAAAAATTAAAAAATGAATGTACCTGACAACAGTCGTTCATTTTTCATCTTTTATAATCTGTCTACCTAAATCGATATTTCGTTTTTGTTAGTGAATATTAAATTCATGTATGTATAAAAGTATTTTTTTTTAATGATTTTTCTCAAACATGGGCTTGTGAACTTAATAACGTGCTGTAGAAATAGTGCGCCATTTTTTTTGTCGTCCTGTACATTTTTTCTATTATTTTCTGGTGAACATATATTTAAATTCTTCATATAATAGGTAGTTAGGTTTTTAATCTTCACGTATCATTTTTGTATAAATCTAAAATACTTTTTCAAAAATCGTAAAAACGTTAATCCAGCACTTCCAATTAAAGTTAGTTTATCGATTAACACTAGACTCGTATGAAATAACCACAAGCAATTAAAGATAAAAATATCAATACGAAATCAGTTGCAACATTATGTAAAGTCCTAAGAGAAAATGTAGTTTTCAACGGCCGGAAACAATAACAAATGTGCATTCAATATTGTCAGACGATTTTTACCAGTCACTCTAAATCAATGCAACCTTTGGGGAACTTTAAAATTTTTAAAAGGAACAAATAATTACTCTTTTTTTATAGAAGAAAGCGTAGCGAAAATGCATGTGTTATATTAATTAATACTCGTACATACTAGTTGACAGTTGTTGAAAAGCTTTCATTTTATTATACGAAAAGGTTAGGTTATGTTATACCATTGTGGTTGTTGTTTACAAAAAATCAAGGCCAGCTTGATGACATTTTCAATTGAACACCTGATAACTAAAATATACGAAAAAATACATGGTACTTTTAAATGTTGGAATTCTTGGCGACAAGATGTAGTGGTTTTTAATCCATAAATTAGGGCCCCTAAATTTCTCTTCTGTTTTACAAATACTTGCTCAAATCCATTCGGTACCTACAACATAAACCAATAATTTATTATAGAAATATGTATGTGTTTTAGCGTAGTAACACTAATAACAGTTCCACACGATACGAGCAGCTCGACTATATCCTAATTTGTACACAGCATAATATTCAGCAGAGACGAAACTTCAGAGTTCAACGTGGTCATTCTAAATTGAAAGTTCACACAACATCTTTGGTGTTGAGCGTGTCTAATCGTTTAATTTAATTAATGGATAATGAACTATGATTGGGTTCATTCGTAGCAAAAAGCATGCTTTGGTTATGTTTGTTATCATGACCAGGTGAATATTTTTTCGTTTGTACCATTAGGTACACCTACTTTGTAATTATTTAGTATTGACAGCACATTGGTTGAAACTGGAAAAAAGTTAGCGTCACACTCAATATGAATTTTCAAATTTTTAGTTTAGTCATGTTCTTAAATTTAACAAAAAGGCTTTGGTTTTTCAGATTATTAACGTCTCAAGAACAATTGTGATATTAGTTTGCATTTGCACTTTAAAGCTGTAACGTCATTGACGGTTGTGCAAATAACAATGATGACAAAACTATACTTAAATTTATGTGGTCTTTTAAAGTTTGCGTAAATAATGAAGTTGCTGTATTTAAAATACCTCTTAAGTGGTGTCCGTACAACAACGTGTTGTCAAACCTAGGAAAGTCTATTTCTAAGAACCGAAGTTCGTCGCTATATTTTTTTCGTCGTATTAATTTGTTTACAAACATTTCGCTTTCTTTGAATTTCATTGTGACTAAATAAAGGTGGAAATATGTTTCCGTCTTTTTCAAACGAATAAACAAATACATCATCGTAAACAACACTCTGACTGAATGTTGACAACGCATCCACGTTCCAGCTACTGGTGTAATGATCTTGTGTTAATTTTTTATTAGTACAGAGCTCATAAACTGAAAAATAATCGGTTTATACCAGATTTGAAAAGCCTGTGTTTATGTTAATTTATATTTTCCAAATATTTTTCGAATAAATTACACTAGAATACTGTACACACCTATATCTCTCTTTGTTTCTTCTGAAAGTTTTATACGTTTTCTAGCAGTCAGTAAACGCGGTGTGGGTGAAATTTCCATTTCGTCTTTAAATAACATTCCGAATGGACATGTTATTTTTATAACTCTAAAACATATACGTTTATATGTTCACACATAAAGTTTTCCTTGAATACCGTTTGCATAGCTAATTATAAAAATTAGTAACGTGCAAGTACGTAGTGTAAATTTCCTTAAAACAAGGTGATAAAAGAGGTGTACACTTCCGAATTTACCAGCAAAACGCCAGTCGTTTGTGACCAGTAGACTTCACAAGATCGGCAAAATGGTGAGTTATTTCGATTTCTTTGGATTGCAAAAAAGTCTCACCTGGTTTTATTAACATTATTATTAGTCAACTGAGTGTTAACATATGGAACAAGAATAGATTTAACATTTCCCAAACACTTTCATGAATGAGCGTTTTCAAGGTAGATATCTATGAGGCCATGACATCATCTTTTATAAATCCTTTATAAACGAGCGAACGAAAACAGTGATAACTAGGTTACAGCGATTTTGATACGGGGATTATCAATATTTTTGCTCAAACACGCATGCGTTTTGCTTTAAATATCAATTAATATTATCTCTCAAAACTCCTTATATCACTTTTTGCACTGCAGTCTTGAAATTCGAACCACTTTCTCCGTGGCGTTTTGTTCGCGCTGTGTTTTCACTGTGTTTATTGCAACCGCGCCTTGGCACCTGCTAACGCACAACCAGACCCAGCAAGGACGGGATTGTTGATTTTACAAATCTGGTTCCCCAGATAAATAAATATTAAATCTAGCAAATAGTTGGTTTGTGGGCGCCTCCACGAAATCAACAAAATCTTAAAGTTGTTCTGTAAATTTCGACGCCGCCGACGCCGACGCCACGTGTATAACAGCTGACACGAGGTCAAAACATGTTTCGAGCTAATTTAACCATACGCAGCTTGCAGAGCTGCAACCCGTGTTTTGTTGTGGTCATAGACAGTGCATTGACTTTTTTAACACGACAAAAAGTGTTATCTCCGTCCACGGTAACAGGGAAATCACCATACTTTTCAAATGCCGTAAGAATTTTTTTATTATTATTATTATTATTATCATCATCTAATTTGTCTGACTATTTAATATTTTTAACATTTAGACACTGTTAACGCAAATAAATTAAATGAAATATGAGCAGGTACTCAACAATCAAAAAATGCATTCTTTTGTTATAATAGCAGCGTGAAGTTGAGCAAGTTTGTTACAAGAATAGTTGGAGTAATTCCAGAAAAGATTTTATATCTCGTTTTATTAATCTGTGCAAGAACGCATTTAAATACGTAATTATTGCATCTACTGCGTGCTTTGACAGATCGATCAAGACCTGTGAGCTATTCGCATATTAAACTCTATTGTACAAGAAAACACCTACTCTTCAAATTATCAGTCAGACGAATATGTTTTTTCTGTATCTATTTACTCCGTTTGTTGTATTTGAAAGGTCAGAAGTATTTTCAACACGGAAAAATCATCGGATCGTTGACTTCAGTTTATAAATGAACTGTTTTCTGCTGTAAAGGAGGGTTCCCCATAGTCAACAATTGCATTTCTGGGTCGATTGATAACATTCGATATATGTACACATAGGACTTCTTTGTGTCAGTATTTTTCCTTGCTTGTTTACGCTGCTCACTCAAGACGCTTTCAGAATAATTGAAAGCAGAGCAATAAAAAATGAATGCACTGAATCGACCGAAAATATCTTGCATCATCTAAAAAGTTCCTTTGCAAGTTGCCAAAACTGGATCCACGGTTTTACCAGTCATCGACTGACGTCTGGCAGCTTCGGGCAATAAGAACACATGTTCTTTTTTGTCGTTGCCGGGAAGAGGTTGTGTAGCAAATTACTAAGCAAAATAACAGGAATAAATTTTCAGAGAAAATTAGCTAAAACAGTAGTAATGCTGATATTTTCACGTTAATGTAGAGGTCAGTACACTGTTAAAAGATAATTAAATTTAGCGATTACTTTTTGTTCAACTGTTGGTTATCAATCACGTGGCTCTCTGGTAATTTTAACTATTTTGCAGATAAATCTGTGGAATGACTTGCAATTTTTAGAACCTGCTCCAGTTAGTGTTTTCGTGTGCAAATTATATTCAAGATTCTGAGTATCATTTACGTGCTGTAATTAATTCAAAGAACGCGTGGTATTAAATCAAAAACATGTTTTTCAGAGAGTAGATAGTTCTGAGAATGATTAGCGTTAGCGAAAGTTGGGATTCCTTTCATCCGAAGTTTTTTTTTCGTTGAAAAGAAAAAATTAAATCTTTTCAAAACCGCATTTGTAATGTCTAATTTCATGTTTACCCGAACTTTCACAGTTTGTAGAACACGAAAATGTCAGCTGCTCGTTTCCAACTGTCTGTATCGCATCGATGGTAAAACGCTAATCAAAATTTGTTTACCCAAGACTCCAACAAAAGTGAGTGTCTTGAAATTTTACATATTTATCAGAATGTGACATAACTCTCAGTGGAAATTTATGGCGTGATACGCTTTTTTATCTATGGTTTAACATTATCTATGTTTTTAACTTTCCGCAAACGGGTTATCGTAAAGGAAACAATATAGATAAAAATTTTACAATCAAAATTTTTATATTCATTCGCTTTAAAAAATGAATGACGTCATCTTAAAACATGATCTAATACATGTTTGCTAAAAATGTATCTTGAGATGCAGTTTATTTGGGCTAAGGTAATAATTAATTATTGTCTTCTTTATTAGAATTGCTTTTACAGAAGCGACTAATTTATTCAGTAAGCCAAAAACAGATGATCTAATTTTCTTGAGTTACAATACACAATAGTTCAAAAAATTACGTCAATAAAACCTTGCTTGAAATATGCATTAAAACATGCTCCTCTATATTGCAATAAACCATTCCTATATTTTAAAAATTGCTTTTAAATATGATACTTAAAATGATTAATGGAAGAACCGATTTATTGTGTCAATTATTATCTGAGACACGGCTCATTTAATTTTTATGAAATTATAACAGCACGCCAATGTTATGACTTATGATTAATGAATGGATCATTGTGCATATCAGAATTAATAGACTGAGCTAGATGAACTTGTTGATAACATCATTTCAAAATGTTGCGTTTTTCTTGGAAAATACGCCCTCTTACATTGAGTGATTTTATTCAACAGACAAGTAATCTTCGTGCTATTGATTTAACAAATTTTTCACTAGTTGAATGACGATGTAATATAATTTTTGTAAACAATATCACTATTTTTTTTTGCTGGGTCATAGATGTTTTCAAACTGGACTTATTTTGTCGCACTTGGTAATAAAACTTGACTTGATTGACAAATCATCAAATTTAATCAAAATAAATGTCATATCACTCAATTTTTCACTTTTTCGAAAATAGAATTATCAACATTTTGCCCTTGAACTCTAAATAATTGCGTTTTTAGGTTTATTTTTGTCGGCTTATTAGAACAACCACAAATAAAAAGTGCACCAATAGATTCAATTTTTATTTTAATTATTACCAGGTGTTTTGCTCACTTTTAGTACTTAACAATCGAAAAATTATCTTATTTATTTTCTTACTTTATTTCCACCAATAACTGTAATACAATACTAATTCTGTATGTCTAATAAATAACCGCCACAGTTGTTTAACTATAAACTTAGCTAATCAAGAAAGTGCACCTATATTTACGACTAAATTTTATTACAAGATTAAATTCATTTAATTATGTAACACGTTCTTTAGCCGGTTTAACAAGTAAAGGTGAAATTTGGTGCCCATACGTCACGATTGTGTTAGCTATAACCATAAAAGTCTCATAATCAGTTGGCAAAAAGAGGAAAACTACTGGCCACTTCTACCAGATAGATATGTATATAAATATAATCACAATCAGCGATCTTTGTTAGTTTTGGAAAGATACTTTTTATACTAACCAAAGGTAATCAAATATTTATCTATTAACAGTAATAGAAACTTTCCAGTTATATCTGCCACCGCAGACGCATGACGTTCTTTTTTCACATTAACTTAGTCGTGATAATTATTTAAATAAAGTATCTCTTTTATTTCTGCATTCATTGTTCTGTCGAGCAGATAATAAATGATTTGTAAACTAGACATCTCTAAATTATACATAATTTAATAATAATTCCCGTGTTATAAATAAAATCGTCGGATTCCACTCGAGTGATAAAAGACTCATTCGTGCGTCAATATTGATACCGATGTGTTCTTATTTGTGATAAGAATGTGTAGACATGTGACGGATATTCAGTTGGTCTCAGAATTCCGTGTCGGAATTTTCTATCTGGCAACGAATGTTTTTTTTTTATCACATTGGACTCGCGTGAACAACACGTGAATTTATTATCACACTTTGAGACTTGTCGGCTACTGTAACGTGTTGGTGATGTAATAGACACAATTATACCTACGTTTTATTGGTAAAAATCTAGACTGACGAGTATAACTGTGACACAGCTTTCCTAGTTGCTAAGCAAGAATTTGGTAAAAAATTCCACTTTCCATCTGTTATGGAAATGTCGAATTATATTATACCTATTATTGAAATTATTTTATTTAATGGATTGGGAACAGGGTTAAACACATATGGAAGTCAAGGATAACCGCACACAGTTTGTCTATTATGCGTTTTTAAGAAAAGTGGAAAAGACTCTCAACTTTAATAAAACCATTGATTGAATAACAGCTTTCAAGAAAACAGCCGCAAACACACACTTTAATTATGGTGAAAGATAATAAAATAAAACGTTGATAAAGGAGAAAATTCTAAAGAAAATACAATTTCCTGTGGATACCTATTTACAAAACATAATTTCCCGGAACAACATTAATTAAATTTGTTCTTGTGTCATTAACAAATAAATGATCAGTTACAAAAGCAAAACTGTCTGTTTTAAGCAGTATATTCCGTTCCAATTTTTCTGAATAGCCACTTTCTTCTTATCTATCACTGTCAATAATTATATTATTAAGCAATTAATCAAAGATAAGTATATAATAGAGTAAATATTGCCCTGTAATTTATTTTTCCCGAGATGACAAATTTTAGATAGAGTGTTTATTTGTTTTGGTTAAATAGATCAATAGATTTTATCACACATGTGTTGTAATAATACTTAAGATCGCACCTGCAAATGTCGTAAACTGGAATTACCTGGATACACAAATATTTTAGCAAAAATTTTCCGCACACACATAGTCAAAACAACCAAAGCAAAATACATATGCTAAAATTATTGTAAATTGTGAATATTGTAATTAGCCTTACACCACTACAACGGCAAAAAAGTAATTACGGCTTTCATGCTTCCATGAATTATAAAGTATCGAAAACATGTAATTTCGTGTCCTTGTGAATGGAAATATGTCGTTTTGTCTTGCTCTGACAATCACCATTCAGATTTACAATTATTGACAATAATAATGGTCGCTGCAAATAAAGGGTTTGTGAACTTGGAAATTTTGATAATTCAGTTTCACACCTCATACATTCCAAATAACAAATTAAGTTTGTTACCGACAATTGTATCTACAACAAGAACTCATTTTGTCGCTGTGATAAAATGTCCATGTAAATTTATGTGCACGAGGCGATAATTTAATATCTATTGAGGGCAGTACAATGCGTACAAACTACTTGTTTTTGTAAATAAGAGAGATCTCTAAAAGTCGGCAATATAAGTTGCTAATACTTATTTTGACACTTGTAATAAATTATTGGTTAACCTTTCTCAGCCTTTATCAAATGTAACGATGTGTTTATTTCTGACGGTGTCTTTTGAACGCTGTTCTGATTTCAGCGGTGCAACAACATTTTATTTATGGTTTGTTTATTAAAAATATTACAGACAGAGCTAAATTTAATTGTACTGATAAAACAATGTAAATAAACCCATTTCTTTTTTACAACACTAATTTCTAACAACTAACATTTAACATGAAATGTTGATCTAATAAGAAGGTTTGAATTCATTTAAAAATTTTAAAAAATGTACACTCAGTGCCATTTCATAAAAAACTATATATTCGATTCAACAGCTACATGTCTATCACGTTATAAATATAGGTAACCATGTTCTGATTGGAATGGTGTTACATTCTTTTGTTGCTTATTGACCAACACCTGTTTGGCGCTTACATCTGTAAATAAATAAAAACTTAATGTTGAAGAGTAACATCGTAGTGCAAATTTAAAACTTTTAAAATAACAACACAATGACTTTTTAAAAATATTTCTATTTGCAGAAAACTGGATTGAACTGATGAAGGTATGTGTGCCGAAACACGTATTCAACAGTTAAAAATATTCTATAATAATTAGTAATTACTTGTTGACAATTTCGAAATCTGTAATTAAAATTCACTCAATTTTAAAAGTCCCTGTAGCTTTGAAAACATATTTATTATTATCATAAAATTATAACAACAAAAATCGATTTTTTTCAATTTTTCAAGCTATTTCAGAGAATAATTTCTACCCAATATTTTTTAATTTTGCAATTTATAAAAAGCTATTCACTATTCTTTTATTTTGTTAAAGTAATTGGTTAAATTTAGTGTCGCACACAAAACTTAGTGACAAAGTGACTCGAAACAATTAATTTGGTATTTTTAGATTCAAGTTTCACAATTTTATAGATGCGACATGATTATAAAATTTATTTTCGTAAACTGATAAGATAAGAATGTCCCAAGATTGTAGATTAGTTCACAATTCAATTAATTTTTGCTTATGTAACCTTTGACATTAAATTTAATAAATACGATTTTTATTTTTAACTTTCTTTCATTCGTATTAAAATTATATATGTGTAAAATATTTCTAATTACATAGTAAAGGTGTTCATTTCCGATTTATTTACTTTGTGTAAAATGTATTTTCAGTGTCTTTCTTGTAATAATCAACGCTAAACATTTTATTAATGCCAATACTCGTATTTTTAGTGACATGAAAAAAGTCCTATTTAAATTTAACGAAGATTAACTGAAAAATATTTTTAAAAATTTTGTAATAGTATTTTACGTGTTCATCATCTACAAGCAGTGTTAATGCAACAAGTAAAAAAAATGCAAACAGAATGTTAAATTGAAACTGAAAATGTCTGTAAGTCAGATTCAGTTCTAAGGATAACTCGACTACAAATAATTTTGCTCGCCCGATATTATATGTTGCAAATGGTAACAAAAACTGAAACGTCGATATCAATCACCAACTAAAATTACACCTTTCCAGTGTCCTGATGAATAAATAATATTGTTTTCATGATTGACAGCTAAAATGTAGTCACACCTTTTATAATGACAGTTACCCAATAACTTATTTTCTTACAAAAAATAAAATATAATTTAGACACCAATGACAATATAATGTAAATTTTGCGTATTAGACAATGTATTAGTAACTATTTAAGTAAGATTTTCCTTTCCAAATTCGATATCAACAGTAAGATTCAAATCGATATTGTGTAAATTTCACCGATTTGTTTGAGTTTATAGAGTGCGATGGTTCGATGTCGGGGATTTCATCTCGGTAATAAGAAATGTATTTTCTTACCTGCTCCAAGTCCTTAATTACACTAACTTGGTTTTACCTTAATCGGCGCCTTACAGTAAAACTTGACGTGTGCTCCCATTTTGCCGTCAGTTAAAATTCTGCGTGTGTTTTCGAGGTAAACTGTGATCCTGGTCACTCTTTAATTTATGAAATGTTTATGTCAGATAATAAATTCACCCAGTTTTTGTTTTCTAACACCTGAAAAGCTATATTTAAACATTCTAAAATTAATAACTGATTAATTTACGTAGACTATATTAAATTAGATCTAATGGAAATGAAGCGTCGTGGAAACTGTCACCATGAACTTATAATTTATCAAATGTAATAATGCGTCAAAACGGTAATTAGGAAAGAGTCATTTATGCATATACATCCCTCTTAAAAATGAAATTAATTAAAAATTATATGAATCAACAGTTCACACGTTCATTATGTGGTGTTTAGATAGCACACATTCTGAAAAGTTAATTAGGAAATATTTTTCAAAATTGCTTTTCGTGTCTGTTCAATGAGGTATTATTAAAAATGTTACGTAGATGTGTCTAATTACACTTGATAAAAGGATGCGGATCCGACAAATGAGTGAGTGCTTTGTAATTTTAACTTACGGCCATTTTAAAATTAATTCGTTTATAAGTTAGGGTAAGCTTAGGCTTATAGCGAATACTTCCATGCACTTATCATGTATTGTTTCTTAATTTCACACAGTGTGAACGTGATATTTAAATATCAGCAGATTTTACTCACTTTCGTTTATTTGATGTCATTATAGTGTTCTTATCGCTATTAAGTAATAAAATGTGATTTGTATTTTCCCCAAAGTGCGGTGTTTTGCGTTGTTTATACTTTTACTATCTCAATTATTAATTGCTATGACGTTTGTTAAGTTGAATGATCCCAATCCGATAATTAATACGTGATACAAGATCATGTCACGAGTGGCAGCGTGCCAATCCCTTTATAATCAAACATGCATATAATTATCTTTTCTTTCAATGATTTAATAATTTGCTGAGTAATTTATTTTTCGGATGCTAATTTTCACACCTAATTGTAGTTGCACACATACACCTGCTTGCAAATAACTTGAGCGTATATATATAGAAACACACGTAAATTTTATTTTAATACAGGATTTCATTTTCTGTATTCATCTTTGCTTTGTTACAGAGGATGCCGAATTCAACCCTTGAGAATTCACCGAATGCGGTGCTAAATAAAGCAGTCGCAGAGAGGTATAGGAGTTTACCTTGCCCAGATGGTAAGGTGCAAGCCACCTACATATGGATTGATGGTACCGGAGAAAACGTCAGGGCAAAAACACGCACACTGGATTTCGTTCCTGCTAAAGCGGAAGGTATTTTTTTCCTTTCAATTATTGATTATTGCTGACCTTTCATGTCGCAACGACCATAAAGGAAAATAATATTTAACTTCGAAAGGATTTACATACACGCGACTGAAACGATGTCTGGTTCATTCATAATCAATTAAGAGGACCTTAAGTGAACCTTGGGAACCATAGCCTAATACAAATAAAAAAAGTAAAACTATATGTATTTTATGTAAAAGTATCATACAGGCTGACTCACTAAGCGCCATCTCCTCGATAGCACGTTATAGTAAACTCACTTGACTTGTACCTAATAAAACTTTACAGCCTCATTAACGGACAATAGAGGATAATTGTCCGCTATTATCCATTAATGGGCTGTAAAGTTTTACTAGGTACAAGTCAAGTGAGTTTACTATACTAATTCGAAATAGAGAGAAAATCATAGACCAAAGTTTCTCGGTTCTGTAAGAACCATGCACTAAAATTATTTTCAACTATACCTACTGTTTTTAAGGAGTAACACACAACTTAATTTTTTTCAAATATGTACCGTATTTTTACGTACCCACTCTAGTTATATATTTTTGAAATTCCGATGCGACGTTTATACGTTATTCCAATTTTTTTTGGAATTTTTTACACTAGGAGGGTTATTTTTAACTATAATCTCCGCGATAAAGTATACGAGTTAATGATCCAAATCTTTTTTTGAATAATCGGTAACATTGAAATCGAAACAAATTGTTAAAAAGAATATTACACTGTACTTTCGTAATTAATTTCTTAAGATGAATAGAGAGATCGATACATAAGTAATTTGACTGATTAATGTTTGACACAAAAAAACAAGCCCTACTTTTACTGATAAGTCATTTATAGCCTAGAGTAAATTTATTCAATTGAAAATAATCATCGTTTTTTTAATAAAATACTTCATTTGTGGCCATGTTTTTTGTACAGCCTGGAGTCAAAATTATGTATCTAGATGAGCCGCAAGAGTTGTATCACTTTTATAATGTGTATTCTGTATTCCAATACTCACAGTGATTGCGATAAAAATACATATCTCAAAATGTAAATACGTCTGTGACTCTGTATGGATGTTGTGTAACCCTGACTACTTCAGCTATCAATATTTCTTTTTCTTTCAAGTGTAACATAGTAAATATTATTATTTATTGTGTATTAAATTCCAAACAAGCAATTAGTGATTAACAAGCGTACCAAAATAATCGGACTTTTTAAATACTCTGATCTAAATAGTTGGAACCACTTTTTACATTGTTATTTTGAATCTAATTTTTGCCAGTATCATGCCCAGAAATATTACTTGTAAAACAAAATCTAATTGTAAAATATCCAGGTTATTTAATGGAGTTATAATATAATATATTTATAGTATATAGTGGAATATAATACCTATTTACTTTCAAAGCAACGTAAGAGTTTTTAAAGATTTTGTAAAATACATTTTCACCGCTTTAAAAGAGGAAACCTCTTCGTAATGGTTGCTTCCGTTGTAACGGGAAACCACTCCTAAAATTTCACGTGTCTAATAAAAGGCTTAAGGGCTTGTACTGGGCGTTGATGCGTCAGTCACTCACGACTTTGCTCTTTGTGTCTTTGTGTGTACTGTTATAATAAATAATAAAATATTTCAAAACAGTAATAAAAACACTTTTGACATTAAGTACCACCTTAAACAGCATTACTGCAAATATCCAACGTAAAAACGAAAGAAGATATTTTGTATAATGAACCGCATACATTGTGTTGATCAATTTTTCCAATTTTAAAAATGATGAATATCGAAAAGTTGAAGGATTTTTCAAAAATAATGTTTGTGACGTTGATTGTTTTAATTAAAATATTCTATATTTTATCATATTAGACTTCTACCATTATGTAGAATGAAGTAGTTTGATGTCACATATTTAAAAATGGAAATCTGAGATTTTGTACAATTTTTTTTAGTTTTAGTTACCTTGGATTAACAATGATATAAAAATTTTAAATATTTCCAGTTCTTTCTATATTTGTCAAATCGCACACTCTATATTTTTAACATTTTCTTATTATTACATCAATTACATTTTCTTTTGAGAACAAATTTGTTGAGGTTTATCCTAACAGTTTTTAGTCTGTTATTGTTAGGATAGATCCCAAAAAAATTGTTAGGCAGAAAGAAGTTCGAAAATGTTTTTTGTCCGATTTTAAAAACATGAGATGATATTTTGCAAATTTAATCAACCTGTCTAAAAATATGTTTAAATCTTGCACAATTTTTAATACGTATCATAAGACAAGGTGACTAAAAAGTAGTGTCCAAAATCCAAATCTCCATCTTTGAAAATAACAGAGTTGTTAATTTTTATGTATTTCCACCAAAGTATAAATATTTTCGCTTTTTTCATAAAAAATCTAAATTTGTAAAAATGTATAGGTGTTTTAAAAAATACAACTTTGGTGTGTAACCTATATTTCAAAATAATTGTAAATTGTAGGCTCAAATGAGTCCTATTACGCCCCGTTAAATATATTTTTGAGTAGAAAAGTAAACAACGTAATATCGACAATGTGGCTCAAAAAATAGTTCCGTGTAACTTTAATTTCATTTTACGTAATTTCCGGAACTAGTGAACTGTGCATTTTAGGTGCATTTTAAGTGCAGCAAATTTCACTTTAAAAGTTCAGCTCAACATACTTCTTTCTCTGTTATGTAACAATTGATCTCAAGTTGTAACTTGTACAAATTGCCATAACTCGTTGAGTGATCTTTGAACCGTCAAATTTTACAGTTTATTTCGCTTGGTATCTTTGACTACAGAACTCTACATGTTATAGAGTATTTTATTATAATATAATTTTTATGATTAGTGTTATATAGTAAATATTAAAATTGACATATTTAAACACGTCAGTTGACTCAGAAACGTAATTGTCTTTTAGTTATTAATAATAACACTGTATTAGGTATTAGTTTGTATGCATAAAAATTAATACATCCTTCCTCTACAAAGTTAAGATTTTGAAAAAAAATGGTACATTAACGATTTTGTCCATTTTGGCTGGTTCCCTTTCAAGGTTATAATTTGCATCAACAAAATAAAATTACTGTATAATCTGTCAACTGTTGACTACTTTTTTGATTGACTATTTTTTATTTATGAATTATTCAGTGGAATTGTGGATTGTTATAACCCAGTTTAAATAATCCCATTTAAGAAAATTTCGGTAAGACAACTTTGATAGGATCAACCGGAAATTTAAAATGTTCTTAAATCCAGCTCGGTTTAAATAACGGGCAATGTGTCAATTTTTGTTAAATCTACAATTTGTTTGTTTATTCGTGACGCACCGAGCCGTACAGACAGACGGGCGATCCGAACCTAGTCAGTCATCTACCCAAGTCTTGGAGTTGCGTAATTCGCATTAGTGCTTGACCCGAATCGTACCGCACCCCGTTAATTTACAATTTGTGGTGTTTACAAAAGGTCAACTCAATGATCAACTGCATATAAACAAATATTATATTCATACTAATTTACGAAACGAATATTTTCCAGAACTGCCAACATGGAATTACGATGGAAGTTCCACATATCAAGCCGAGGGTACAAATTCCGATACATATTTGTGCCCCGTGGCCGTTTACAGTGACCCCTTCGCCAGAGGCAACAATAAATTAGTACTTTGTGATACTTACAAATACAATAAAAAACCAACGGATACAAATAAACGAAACTCGTGCCTACAAGCAATGGAAGCGGCGAAAGAACACATACCGTGGTTTGGAATCGAACAAGAATACACGCTGCTCGACATGGACATGCGGCCTCTCGGGTGGCCTAAAAACGGTTTTCCAGGACCACAAGGACCATATTATTGCGGTGTCGGGGCCAATAAAGTTTATGCACGTGATATTGTAGAGTCACATTATAGCGCGTGTTTGTACGCCGGAGTTCACATTTCGGGAACAAACGCTGAAGTTATGCCTGCTCAAGTATGTCACATGGGAAATAATTTGGGGGTGTTTTTAACAACTTTGAATTCCAGTGGGAATATCAGGTCGGCCCGTGCGAGGGAATTTCGATTGGGGACCAACTGTGGATTTCAAGGTATATTCTGCATCGCGTTGCTGAAGATTTTGGTGTTATTGTGACCTTCGACCCCAAGCCGATCGAAGGTGACTGGAATGGTGCAGGCGCTCATACTAACTTCTCTACGAAAGCTATGAGGGAAGAAGGTGGAATTATGTAAGTTGTTTAATATTTTACAAAAATAAGTTTATTATAAATACACGTACTAGCGCTAAAACATTTTTTTTATTCAAATTAATGTCATTAATATTTATGATGTTTGAAACCTTAGGAGACGGTGACAAGTGTAAACCCCGTCGTACCGGCAATTTTAAAAACTTACTCCTTTGGCACGACATTCATTTAAAAGTTCTAAATCATCCTAATTCATCGCTGTCACAGTATGTTTACACGGCTTGTTGCAAATATGTATTCACATTAATCATAACTCAATTAAGTACTAATTAACTTATCTGTAAATTAGTTATCATTAATACGGAAATATTAATGAAGCTACGTGTCAGACATACTTTTTTTATTTCAAGTTAATAAATATTGTTAACACTGTTAGAACGGGAAAAATATTGTACAACATGTTAATACAATATTCCCTGCATTGTAACATATTTTATAATTGCAGAGAAATCGAAAAAGCTATCGACAAGCTCAGCAGGAACCACCTTCGTCATATCCAAGCATACGATCCCAAAGGAGGAAAGGACAACGAACGTCGCCTTACTGGAAGACATGAAACCTCTTCAATCCATGACTTTAGCGCAGGTAAGCAAAATGCAAACTGTCACACGACCTGTCTATGCAGTTTGAGTCTAGATCATATATTAAAATATATTTTGCAGGTGTGGCCAATCGCGGCGCAAGTATTCGTATTCCTCGCGGGTGCGCCGAAGAGAAGAAAGGTTATCTTGAAGACAGAAGACCGGCGTCTAATTGCGATCCTTACTCTGTCTGTGAAGCGCTAGTAAGAACATGCATTTTAGATGAATAATGAAAACACGTCGCGTGTTCCTAAATCAATTTTATTTTTGTTTACACATTTTACGTTTGTAATTGTATAATTATAAATTAATTATGAATTATTGATAAACTTTATATATTCTTTTGAAGAGTTTTATTCTTCGAAGTGACAACACTCACTATGTTCAGTATATATTAACGTCATATCAATAGTGTAAGTGATGCATGCTACCAAAACGGTTGAAGGGATAGACTTTAAAGCACGATGCTGTATATGAAAATGTATTTTGTTACGTTGTAAAATAGTTTATACAACTGTTGTAATTCCAAGATTTAAATATATTTGCTATATTCACAAGAATTTCCTTTAATGACAATGGTAATAACCACAACGACCTCGCCTCTTAGCTTCCAACTCGACGATGTTCAGAGTGCTATTAAAGAGTCTGAAGTTGCATGAAGGGTGTTTTAGGTTTCATTACCCAGAAGCGAAGTTGTAGACGTTTACAAAATACATGTTGAGGTGATTCGAAAATTAAAACAATTAGTAAAATTTCATTTTTTTACCTCTTAACCATAGATTGTAGTCTTTTCCTAAACGGTGGCGCATTCTTATTCTTAAGAGTGACATTTAAATTCCAAAACAAACTAAATAAGAGTCTTTAAAAAGACTGATTTAGAGAAAATATCGAATAAACCGAACACAAGGACGGCGATATGAGTATACAAGTAAGAGAGAAAGCTCCAGTTGACTTAAGCGGATAGGGCAGGTGTAATTTATCGAGCCGTATGAAAACAGTCATGCTCATTTCACTGTTAAAACCTCTCAACCAATAATATTAGGGTTTTAAAAGTCACGCAATTTTACAACTCTGTTCGGTAAACGGAGTATAGATAATAATTTTTTTGGCAAATTTTAAATTAAAATCATGTATGAACCAGTCTTATATTTGACGTTTACGGAGTAACTATGACTTCCTTATCCCGTGCAGGGCACCTATTGGCGTGTTTGGTAGTGCGCGTCTCCATGGCTCCTATTATAAACACAAGGGTGGAGAGGAGTGATCTAGCCTTGACCCTAAAAACCTGGTAGGGCATGCTTATGCGAGAAACAGAAATCACTCTAATTCTTTGGCCAAACTAAAACTCTGATACGTCCTTTAGAATTTCTGAACCATTTATTAAAATTAGTTACAGGGAAATAAGAAATAGAAGTGGGAAGGTGGTCGGTTGAGCCGGGAATATCACAACAACCCCACGACCAGTGTTGGGGACAGATATTTTTAAAAATATCTAGATACAGATATAGATATATGGAAGATAAAAGTATCTAGATACAGATTGTTTTAAATTTTTTCGAAATGTATTTAGACAACAGATACAAGAAAACAGATACTTTTTGAAGCTTTGGCGAATAAAATAACTGAAAATATGTTTATGTATTTTTTCTGTATTGTTTAATGAATTTTTTAAAATTAACAACATTTCGAATGTATTGTCACCTAAATTATTTCTTCTTGGTGTCAGAATTTGGTTTCCGCTACTAAACACCCGTTCCACAGGTGCAGAAGAAGGGATTGTGGTATTAAATTTAAAAAATAAGCATTTTACTGTAGCATAGTTATTCAAGACTGAAAAATCTTTTCTTTTTTCCTGCAAATAGGCTATCGCTTCGCTGTTTGATGTGTCGCAAATTGTGCAATATTTATTCCGTACGCTTAAAAAGAATTTTTTTTTTTGTTTTTATTCCCATACTACAGTGTCCAAATTGTGTTTGAGTATATCTAATAATTATCTCCAGCATTAAAATTGATATTTCAAAAGAATACGGGAAATGATTATTCTGTGCTGAAGGTCTGTTGTCGGCAACCTGTCTGTTCCGGTTCGAAGTTTGTTTAATATTTTGTTTTGATTTTGTTTGTTATCCCTCGGATTGCTGACAAGTGTATTTTGGTCACTTTCCACTAGAGGCGCCATAGTACCGAGCAAAAGAGCCCGGTACTTGGGGTTGGCGCTGTTATCGAACAGAGTTATCGAGAAACCCTCAGAGAGGTAACATCGCTAAGGTGGGCGTTAAGTGAACGCAATTGCCATCTTGTGTGACGTCAATCGCGAATTGTTGTCGCGAAACTTAGACACGTGGTTCCTCTGTGCATGCGGTCTACAAACCCTCAACCCAGGAGGCTGAACAAAACAAGGTAGGTGACCTTTTGATGCGTTTGTCAGCTTCGATCCAAATTTTAATATTATTTTTTTTGGAATTGTAAAATCGCCGCGAAAAAAAGGTGTTTTCAAAGCCTTTACGTCCAACACTGTCATAAATTATTATTCTTCAATATCGGCTTAGGATGTTTTTATGAGCATGTCCGGTAACCGTCTATCCCGGTGCGGCAGGTATATACATTTTAGGAAGAATTGCTGGTTCCATTTAAGGCAAAATAAATACAATTTCTTAGAAAAGTATTTAAACCCCTTATAGGATCAAAGGCTGCCTGGTAGGCCGGAATCACCAGAGTGCAACTTTAAATTTTCAGATTTTTGTTGAAACTCATTTTATTTTAATCTCGTTTCACGATTTCTGAGAATATATCGCGATAAATTATTCTACCGAGGGTTGTAAAAATATTTATTTTATTGCCCAAGATAATTACACTGAAACATAATCGCCACATTCTAGGGCAAAACGGACCTGCCAAGCCCGGCTCGCGTTAGGTCCAACAATGAAAAAGTGAAGAAATGACACATGTGGCAACAGGAAAAGATACTACATTTGTCTGAAAAATAAAGATATAAAACAGTAACAAATATGCGATTTATGCGAGAGAAATGTATGTATTGACCATTCGAATAGTCGATTACAAAACTAATTTGTGCTAATTGAAAAAATTAATCATTATGTAACACGCAATTATTATTTTCTAAAAATAAAACATACCTTAAACAAATATTTTTACTATTAAAATTACTCTTATTTAATAACACAAATATAACCAGAGGGGCTACCGGACCCGGGTTGCTCAGGTACACAGATAAAACGCATTGCCTCGACAAGCTTTGAACGCAAAATCACCAACATGAAGTATCAAAAATTACTACTAGTATAACTCAACTAATAACTACTGAAAAAAAAGTGAAATAAAAAAATGTATCTGTATCTGCGCCATTAATTACGATGTTATTTGTGATCACATTTTCTATTTAATCGTGTAAGTAAAGTATACTCTTTATTGTTTGAAATCCTTGATACACTATTTTTTTTGTTCATTTAAATATCATCAGAACCAAGGGGATTATTTATTCTGAATTTATTTTGGTTAAAGTTAGAATCTCTTGAATTTTGATGATAGCAAAATGAGTATTACAATTACAAGGAAGGAAACACAATTTTATTAAGTCACACTACCTTATCAAGAATTTCAAACAACAAAAAATTTGCATGATGTTAAATTATGCATTAATTCAAGTTATTTATTACATTAAATCAAAAATGTGTTCACAGGTTACATGACGGACCGAAACGAAGCCCCATATTATACAAAATAAAGCACATATGAAATAAATACAGCAGACACATATTTATTACTTTCAAAATCAAAATAATAATTCGAGAATAAATGATGTTCAAATTCAAGTTGTAAGACAATTATTAAACATCCAGGAAAGTATTAGAGCTTTCTCGTTAACTAAGCTATTTATATAACTGATGATAAAATGTACATTATTGTCGTTAGGTAATTGTTTCAGAACCATCGACATCAACAGTTAAAAATCTCAACATAAATTGTGAATTCACAAACAATAAAATAAAATAACACGTGTTGACGTATTTGTCAAAGCTTCACATTTCATATTAGAAAATCGCTAATTAACTAGTCTTGCGCTAATTAAACTGGTTTCATTAAAAGTTTTGTTAAACAATTGCCCTTTTGGAAAATTACAAACAAAAATTTGCCTACGAATTATTACACCCACAACACGGCGAAACAAAAAGTGACGTCTCAAAAACAGGAAGTGATTCTACTTGCCCTGTATCCTGTATTACAAAATTCCCTAGAACTACCAATCCGGCGGTGATTTTTTCGCTGTTCCCCCAATTGCACTAAAACATGGGTCTTGATGTCTACGAAATTTAATTTTTCAAACCCGGACACCACATTACAATACCTATTAATATACCTACTTAGCGACAAGGGAAGTTATTCCTTTTTACAGATTTTACTTAAGTAACTGTAGTATGTTTCTAATTTAAAAAACATTAATAAAACTTCAGATTAAAGATATCGATTTTTGTTATACTATTTTATTAATCGATTTTAAAAACGCCCACAAGCTATGTGGAAAGACCATAAGAATTACATCCGAAACCATCTTACTACCTGTACGATCTCCAAGATTCTAAACTAGCAACAGACACCTATTTGGAACACCTGACCCCCTGACCGTAACTGAATTAGCATTTTTCTTGCGTCCAAAAGTGCTCTAATAAACTGCTAATTTTTAAGTCACAATCTGCAAGGTTGTTTCGTGGGTTATCCTGAATGGGTTGAAATTTTGTATCAGCACTTCTCTCTCATGTTGGAAAATAAAATAAATATAAAAATTGATAAAATTGGGATCCAGTTCCAGCATTTATTTTGTGTCAGTCTACAGTTTCAGATTAAGCAACGGCAGCAGGTGTGGATAACGAAACAGGGGAAAAGGTAAAGCCGAAAACCTTTAAAGAAGCTAAAACATTGTTTCCGAGCGATTGATGTAAAAAACAGAAAAAAAAAACTTCAGTGTAACAATCCAAAATGCAATTCTATGACTAAAACTCATACTGATGTCAATTACATCACAATATGCTTCTCTGCAGTTCACTCTGGTATTCTGCACATCAACACTTGGAGAATATAACTAATGTTTTGTGGTTTATAAGTTACGAACTCGTATTTTTTTAAGCGAAACAATTTTAATAATAACTAATTAAGTAGCTCATTTTCTTGATAAAATTTTATGAACTTGTTACTTAAATCAAGAATACATTACATTTTCAAAATACATGGACATGGAAAAGTATGTATGTACATGTGCTTAAAATTTGTGATTGTCTTGTAAAAATTGGAACTTTGGCGTGAATTTGAGTTTTTTTTTCCATAAGTGGAATTACAGTTTTAGATGTTCTACAATTTTTATTTCCATTAAATGTCATTTTGAGATCTGAAATCTCTCATGAATACCATGAAATAGGCCACTGGAGTGGCAGCCGTTTTGAAATACCGGTTACTGATTTCATGGATTTTGACGCGTGATCACTTATTTTAACTCTCATTCCGTCCTCTATATATTAATTCCTACATGGTTAAAGCCTAAATCTTCTGAGAAACATGAAACATGTCTACGATTGACGTAATTATGCAAAGGCAAACACTTTGCGATCTCGTAGTCTAATGAACTCCAAAAAATTGTTGTCGTACGATTATTTAACCTGTGATAAGTTTATATTGGTTTTTATATCTAGTGTACATCCAGTGAAGGCACGTAAATATCAAAATAAAGTTCGTTACATAGAATGAAAAATATTCAAGCAACAATTGACAATTCCTATTTTGATTTTGGTATAGTTAAAAGTCTGAAAATTGGGCTCAAAACTAGGGTCCATGACTCTTTTGCTGCCATTTTATTCAAAGCAATAATAAAAATTGTATCAATTCGCTTCTTTAATACTCATTTTACTCTTACAAGGAGGCACATAGGTGCATTAAATTATACGGATTATTTACACTTAATAATGCGAGTTCCTCGTTTTGTTGTGGATAATAACGCACCCACTTCCTTTCTCGATAGTAATCCATACAACTGGTAAATTCCTTGGGTGAATAATTGTCAACAAAAATAGGGATAAATGGATCCATGTGTTCAAAACCTTCTTTTCTCAGAAGATACCTTACAAAAAAATTAAGAAAATTACTACTAGTAAAAAACGCTGCGAATATTACCTTGGTAAATGAGATTTGTGATCCTGTTCTGCAATGGCGATCTCATCTACAGTCGTTACAATGGCAGCATTATTCCAGTCAAACTTTGTTAAACTCAAAAAAGCTTCAGTTAATGTCACTTTGTTAGGAGGAACCACTTCCTTTTTCTCTTTGAAGACACGAGTATGGGGATAAAAAAATGCATTAAAGCCATCAATTGCTACCAAGGTTTTACAGTGTCCACTTCTACTCAAATGTTTTATTTCTTCAGCCAAACCAACAACGCACTCTGATGCATATTTGAGTCGGTTTACACCATGATCGACTAGTTCACTTAAGGGGGAACCCTTTGGAGTAGTTTCACGTTTGCTCCAAACATAATCTTGAGAAATTTGAAACTCTGGATTATTCAGTAAATGTTCATTTTGGGATTTAAAGTGTACCAACCAAGCGGCTGCATCTATATTAAGATCAATGTAACCTTCTCTAGTCTCTGAACTGCTTATTTCTTTGCATCTTCTCATCCAATTACCCACCCAAGGTACATGAACTATTAGATATCTGGCTTTATGTGCATAATGTAAAATATGAGCCAAACATAAACTTTTCCCGCTGCCTTTTTTACCAAAAATGACGAACCTCACAGTTGGTTTTGTATAATCAATCAACTTCAAGCAATTAATAACATCGACTGATGGTCTACGAATCATTAAGCAGGTTTCATTAAATGTTTTTGCTTGAATTTCAAATGACTTTGGTAACCCTCCATACAGAAAAATATTTTTTTCTTCTTCAGGAATACGGTAAAATTGACCCACGTGGTCTAATGTGTGTTTTAATGGGTCATTTTCTTCAGAACGAAAACTTTGTAATTTTGATTCTGTTATTGGCTGTGAGGCCGTCGAGAATCGGGTACACTGTAAAACACTGTATGCTCTTCTGAAAATGTACTCGGAAGCAAAAGATTTGATCATTTTTTATTATGGTCGATAACACACTTAACCTAAAAATGCTCAGCGCTGTAATATTAAGGGGCTGTTAAAAGTTCACTTACACTTAATTCGTAACAGCGTCTTGTTTATGAAAAAGCTTTCATTATATTTGTGTTTTATGTAAAATATTTTAATAACACACTTGTACAAAATGCCGCACTTAACCTCAAACTTAGATGACCAACGTGTCCTCCATCCAGCGTCTGATTTTAATGCAATCAATAAGGGATCTCATATTCATAATCAATAATCTTTCTAACAATTTACTATTAAAATATACCAAAAATACTGGGAGTGCTTAGCGCTTTATTGTGCAATATGTAAAAATAACCAAAGCGTCTAAGATTTAAATTGCTCAGTTCATAGAGAATAAATAAAAATTACATATAACATTAAGAGCAAAATTTACATAATGGTAAAATGTACAGCATTAATTTTACATCTGAATTTTAGCACAATATTCAATTGGCGTAACTGTATCATAAATGATGTAGGTTAAAATGTTAACAGGATTTGAGAAAATTGATGTTTGAACATAATTAATATAAAAAAAAACATTTAAAAGTAAATTTACACGGTACGCAAAATAATGTGCACTCCAGAATCAGTAAATACGGGCTCTGAAAGTTCTCCAACTTTCAAAGCAAAAGATGCTTCTTCGAATGGTTTCTGCATTGCGCCTTTCTTGAATGATCCTAAGTCACCTCCTCTTTTAGCAGATGAACAATCAGAGTATTTGGATGCTAAATCAGCGAAAGAAGCTTTGCCTTGAACAATTTGTTCTCGATACGCTACAAGAAACTTTGAAATAATTTGTCAGTGTGATAACAGAACTTACATTTAACTAATTCCAGTGCTTCCTCTTTTGTACGGATGATATTTTCTTCTCTCCATGAGGATGGTCTTCGAGAGTCTTTATGCTTTACCAGTAAGTGTGAGCATTGAACTTGTTCAGGTCCACTCGAAGAGACAGGTTCTGCGGGTTTATCAGGGACGTCCCATTGTGACTCTTTGGTGTAAATGTTCAGGTAATAGTGTTGGCCTAAAACGCATACACCGCAGTGCATTCAACACTTGCATATTACGAAAATGAAGAGAAAAAGGGCGAGACACAATCAAACAAATCATAACCAAAATACAAAGCTACTCTTCTAGACTCAAGTCTGTGATAAAATAAACTTATTCCCACTAAAATTAATATATTTAAGAAGTACTAACTAACCAGTTGACCGACTTAACCGTTTTTCCCAGCCGGCAGGCAACTGTTCATCCGCCATTTTTCCGCTTTTGAGTGTTTATTTATATCGCTAACTTCATTCGATAACGGTGTTCGTAGCAAATCGGCTACGCTTCGTCCAATGTCGCCTTTCAATGTTCTCCTGCGTTTTATGATTGGACGATTTGACTAACTGTCAATGCATACACCAATCAAATCGCGAGAAAATGACAAGCCACGTGTAAATGATCGTTTTCATTCCTTGTGATATTAGCTGCATACAATTTTGTAATCAGCTGGGCGGTGACAGTTCGATTTTGGACGTTTGCGTGGTTAGTTATCGACGCGTGCAACGCTCGACACGTCAGTTTCGGCAACCTCTGTTTTTATTTATATGTTGATTTTAATTTATTTCTAATCTTTTAATTTGTTTCTAATACTCTTATTTGGCTTAACGTGGCTATGAGCTAGGTACTCGTTTTTCTTCAGGCGGAATTCGTCGAGTGGTTTCTGGTGAAAGTGTGGGGGTGCTCTTATATGGTAAACAAAAACATATTCCAGTTTTCTGGCAATTTTTAGGTAAGTACTGCTGTTTTTTTTGAATGAAAAATGGTTTCTTTAACTTGGAATGCGTCTCCTCTGGTGCTACCAATAAGCACATTCGTTTCATGTAGGTCATTTATTAATTTAAAATTAAATCAGTTGCAATTGTCTTAATTATTGTAAAATGTTCGCTTTTCAAAGACAGCAAAGTTCAGTGGACTGAATTTTAAAAGTACCAGTTCATCTTCTGATTTCCTAGTTCCTGAAGAATTGAGGAAAACACCTGTTGAAAAGAAGAGACAGGTGAAGTAAGACCTGCGTTACCTACCTGTTTCGTGTTGGATGAGTCATCGCTAGGTTTCGTTGCATCTCGAGTCGGAAAGCTATTTTTAGATAAAATGATTAAATTCGGTTTACGTTATTGATTTTATATTTGATGATTTCCATCTTTAAAACAAAGAATTATCGTCAAGTGACACATTTTAATCTTGGATTGATGACATATTTATTACATGATTTGTTTCATTAACTCCACGAGGGTTCCCCAGACATATGTCTAAGGTGTAATCGTAATCATATATCACTAAAAACAAATAACAAGGCTCATTGCCATTTTAGTTCGAGTTGGTTTTAACGATGTTCGTTTTTTTTGAGTTAAGACAAAAAATAAATCACACGTATAGTCGCAGACAAAACTTGGCGATAAAGTGGGTTCGCAACCATAGCCTACTACATTTAAGAGTCAAAACAGAAAGACACACTGAATTGTCATTAAACCCGTTGATGTTCCTCTGTCGCCAAATTTTGCCTACGACTTTATTATTACATGATATTTTTACTTCCTGAGTGTAAGCTATAGGGACAGGGAGTAATAGGACCCATATAACGAATGATGGACTTTGGTTTCCGTCTATCTGTGGTTTGTCGGCGATTTTGTTGGACAAATTAATCTCCGAAATTACTTGAATGGTTGCTTTAAAGTTTTAGCTGTGTTCTAACCGGCGAACCTCAACTCGGGTCCAGGTCGGGCGTTTGCTAATCTGGCACCTTAACTCCGGTTCGCGGTCATCTTAGCCCATTAACTCCGATCCGGCAGATATATTATGTCTGACTTTAATTATATTTATTTAGTGCGGAAACACATTCCAGTCGTTTTGGATCAGGAATGAAGTAAACACTGTTTTAATAATTTTAACAATGTTAGTTATACATCACTGGTTATACATCTAGTTACAAAATTTTGCAGGTTGTGCAATACTGAAATCAGTCAGTTGTTATAAATTGTAACATAATACTGTCATATTTATATTAAATTTCATAAAGTCGTATCTACAAATGTGGTTTTTATTATATTACATAATTTTTTGCGATATGATGTTCTACCGTTCTTATCATTATGGCCGGAAGTATAATAAGACAAATGATGAAGGCACTCCGGATACCAGGAAGATTTTTGGAGAAAAACAAAGGAAACTACAATCAAATTGTATAATTTAAGTTATTGTATAAGAATTTTCAAATCTTACCCTAGACATTCATATTTTTGGACAGAAATTCAAAACTGTATAACAATAGTTTGCAATTTAACTTTGAAATTGCAAAACCGAATGCTCTGAAATCTTGTAAATATTTTAAGGTTATCGTAATCAAGATAAATCGTTAAGTAAAATTTATTCGTTTATCCTCTCCCAAAAAATTGATGACGTCATCTCAAAATTTAGCTTGTTTTTTACAAGTAATCCTAGTTGTATTTTGTTTTTTTTTTGGTCCTTTTTACTACTACACCAAACTTTTTTTGACATTTTTTATACATTTTAAGAAAATATTTAAATGGTGCCATAGTTTTGATTGAGGTTGTCAAAAATATTTAAATTTGAAATTCCGGAATTTTGTTTCATAAACTAAACTGAATGAGAAGTTCGTAAAAAGTCTTTGTAGTAATTTTTCAAGTTGGTGTCTATCTATAATAATAATAATAATAATATGTATTTGCCCAACAGATACAAATCCATTAACAGGACAAAAATAAATACAATTCAGACTTTACAATTAAAACTAAAAGATCTAATCAGACTTATCTATGCTATTCTCATCGTTAGGTTTTATTATTTCGTTAATTTGTCATAATTATGTTTTATGCGTTGCGGCGTTCATTCCAAAAGGAACGAACTAGATTGTTGAAGTCTTGCCTCATTTTATTGGAGTTCCAACAAAAGAAACATGCGTGAATATATACAAGGAACTGATTTGTGTTATTTGAGATTTGTATGAAAGAAAAACAACTGCTACTAAGTATTATTAATGGTGTTTTAAGGTCACTGACGCAGTTTAATTTTCGCTGTTAGGTTTTAAAAGGCTTTAATCGGCGCAGTTGGTCTAAATCGATACATTAAAATCTAAAAAATTTGCTTTTTATTGGGAGAAGAAGCGTTTTATTAAAATTCTTCGTGTGTTACTAATAAATTTACTTTCAATTAAATATTTATTCTGTTTCTGATTGTTGACACATTTATTGCATGATTTGTTGCAGTAATTATATATTACATATATACACGAGGAGTCTAAGGTATAATTAGAATATGTAATAGGAAAAATAAACAACAAGTTTCATTACAGTAGTTTTAATGATGTTTTTTTGAGTTATTATTTTTATGGAAAAGTATTTAGTTTATAGGTCTGTCGTTTCCGTTTATTTGTGGTCTGTTGGCAATTTTATTAGACAGATTAGTCTTCTGACTGGTTGTTTCAAGTCAAAACACAACCAAATTTTACAATTTGGCTCAGAACTATTTTGATTGATTATTTTTTTTTTTTTAGTTGAATTGAAGGAAAAAGTAAAGAGAAAATGTAAGATGATTGATCCGAAATTTTGCATACGCTTTAAGATTATCGTGAACATGGTAAATCATCCGTAATTTATAATAACATGTGCATATTTAAAAATAATAATAATATTTTTTTCGCTCTAGAAAGTTAATGACGTAATCATATAAATTTATTAAAAAGGTTTTTGTTAAAATGTGCAGTCGTCTGCGCTTCAGTAAAATGCAATATTTTTATTTGTCTATTATTTTAGAAACGGTTCGTTTAATTTGTTCTAAATTCTGAGAACGGAATGACGCTGACACATGAATAATTATTAGAATTAAAATGTTTATCCTCACCAGACATCATTAAATAAATCTTTATTAAAAACTGCATTTTAGCATGCATCGCTTGTGCTTCAGAGGCGAGAGGATTTATCTCTAAATAAGCTACGATCCATTTTTTGTTTAGTAACAGTAGTAATTAATGGTTTCATTAATATAAAAGAGATGAAGCGAGGTATAGCAGTGCTATTGAAAGTATTTTTAAAAGGAAACACGCTTCAATATTTCAACGAAAACCGTTCGCTGGTAGATTAGATTGAAAATGATGGACAGAATTATATAATTTGATAATATTGTACGCTAAGAATCGATAGTATATGGCAGACTGAAACTTACGCCTCCACAGTGGATTCTTTAATATAACATTAACATCATGAGTACTTTTACGAGTAAGAAATTCCGTCTAAATAACTTTATACCAGTCTTTTCGCAATAATGTTTAAAATTCATTACTGAAAATATTGAAATTTTTCCAGTAAACCCATTTTAAGTGCAACGTTTTAATAAAAGTGTTTCGTAAAGAGATTGAACCACGGTTTGAATTTAATAAAACGGCAACACCCAGTCGACGCCACACGTAAGGGGCTAGGTCGGTCCTGGGCTAGTGCATTTATTTGTACTACACGTAGCATCTCCCTTCTATGCTTTAAAAGGAGACCAACTTAGCGGATAGAGAAAATTACTACATTCAAGGATTCTTCAATTTTCACCTCTGTGTTAGTTGAAGTGTTATGTTGAACAGTCTCATTCCAAATAAACCGATTTATTTTATCGATTACTCTAGAAATATTATCATTTAATTAGTGTTAAAGTGTACACAAAATTAAAATATCGATGTACATCAAAAATTTAAATTTTTGTTGAAAACGTACACTCTACGCATGTTGTATTGGATGTGCTGGACGAGCAAGGGAAGTATGTAATGACTGAACAATTTTACAAACCTTTTCACTTTCAAGAAGCACTACTTGGCTTGCGAACGAACAGACCAGGAGTAACACATTTAAAATTCAAAGAATTCGTTTTTTTTTAATTTTGCATAAATTAAAGAACAAATTTAGGTCAAAATGTTCTATGTTATCTGTGTAAATGAGTAGATAATATTTAATAAGCCAGTTTAAAACTGGCTTAGTAGGCTGGTTAATTAGGCTAGTCCTCGTGCTATTTACAGTGGCGCAAATTTAAAAGAGAGATCGTTCAGTAAAGATCTCATAAGTGTAAGACCAAAAGTTATAGACATAATTTCTTTTGTAACAATCAAAAAAGAAATTACCAGCATTTTTTGGAATTACAAATGTAGTTTTAACTTTGCAAGGACGAAGGTGATATCAAAATTACAGTAATTCTTTTGCAGTTGTTGCTATTATTAGAATAAATGACATACTGTGGTATTTTGGGACTTTGGCTGCATCA